TGTGTGTTTTTCCCCTCCACCAGAAATTTTCCACTTTAATTATGTGGGTTAGGTTAGAGGAGTTCACCTTCGGAACGTTAAATGCACAAATAGCTGGTCCCTGCCACAAGACACATTTCTGGGAAAGCCCAAAGATAAATGTTTACAGCCAATACTGGGCTAATCGGAGTGGGTGAAGTTGAGGGTGATTTAAGCATTAGGTGCTCATGCCCTAAGGAACAGCCTAGAGAGAGTGCCAGCCTCGACATCCTGGAATTCTGGCCTTGGTTCTCACCAATAGTGGAATCATTGGCAATGTTCATAGATTTGGGTTTCCCGCCCACACCGCCTTTCCTTGGTTTTTGCCTTAAATATGAGGAGGTCGGTAATTAAAACCATACTTTAAACATTAAGTCTACCACCTAAAGGAATGACGTTTATTAAAGTTGCTAAGCATTAAGTACAGAAACTCAAAATAGCCAGAGCATACTTCCCTCAGCATCTGCTTAAAATAGTGGCTGCGAGAAGCCTGAGTATTAGAAATTGCTGTGTGTTCCTCTATATGTGCGTGTGCGTACACACACACACGCTCACACACCCTCACACTCTGATGCATACACACATGCACATCAATACATTGACATATCAATAAATGGATGCATTTCTCAAGTAACTAGTGTTTGACAAGCAGAAAGTCAACATGACCCCCTAATCAAGGTACTTAGAAGGGTCATTACTCAGAAAAACTGCACTCATCTCATTAGAGCTCCGAGAAAGTAGGGACTAATTCTGCCTATCACTTTCCCTTTTAGAAACGTCCTCTCCTTGTCAGTCACAGGGGGTCGGTGATGTTCACTATGGAAAGATGTGGGGAAGGTTGAGCTCTCCTGAGGCACTTGAGGCTGCCATGAGTTGGACTCTCCTTGAGGACAACAACTAGTAAAACCCACCAGGGCAGCGAGAGGCAGTGCTATTTGCCACTTGCTGCCCTTTTGTTTGCTCAGGGTTCCCTTCAGGTAATGCCTTCTGAGAACTTGGGACGGTGAGCAGTCTGTGGGTGTCTAGAAAAGCAGTCCAGGCAAGATGTAATATCATCCAGCTTGGAAAGAAGGACCCTTCTAGGTGTTTGGTTTTTTTGAAGTTACTTGAAGAAAGCTTCCTTCAAGAATTTCTTAGAGCACACTGACTAGTGCCTACTAAAGAAATATTAAGTGTTGAGGGACTCCTAAGGGCTACCAGGTACCAGGCACTGTGAAAAAACAAGCAAAAACCAAGACACTGCTTTCAAGTCCACTCACACTCCTGATGATCCTCCATCATGTTTCCTAGGCTGTAACATTTAACAGGAGCAGGCAGCCCCATCTTTTTCTTGCAGAGTGATTGGTGCATTTGAACCACTAACAGCCCAGTACATAATACATGGTGCCACCAGGGCTCCTTGACAGGTATAGCTCTCTGAAAAGTCTTAATTTTATTCTTTTCAACTCCATAAGTAAGAGGGAGGCATTAGAGTTAAAAAGGCTAGAAGAGAGCCTTTGTGGTCCTAGGGGTTTGGGGGGCAACTAACCCTTCATCCTCCGTTCTCAGTTATGAGCTCTGGAAAAGTAATTACATTTTCTGAGTCTTTACAAATACTGTACATAATACAGTAAAACTCACAAAAGCAGGGACCTGTTTAGGACAAAAACCTGTCAGAGAGAGAAAGCTCAGATACTTTTCATTCATAGAAAAATAGTGACTCTGCACCCTTTTAATAAAGACAGAAAACTAGTGAGACTTGGAAAAACAAGACAGCCCTTTCCATTTCTGGGTCTCTCAGGTTTTGCTGTATGATATTTATATTCCTTGATGATTGAACATGTACACACACAGTCTTACAGCAATGTCTATCTGGGATCTAGTCCATATTGTTGTTGTTGATTGCCTTCAAGTCGAGCGCAACTTATAGTGACCCTATAAACAAAAGGCCTTGAAGCCCCTCTACAACTATTGACATTTATCAAAGTGCACAGTTTCCAGAGGCATGTTGTTTAGGAATTGGATGCCTCTACATATTGGGGGGTGGGGGAGGTAATATTCTTTTAATGACTGAATGAGAAACTCCTAAGAACATAGTCATTGTGAGGTGCTGCTGTGTTGGTTGCAACTCATAGTGACCCGTGAGTCCTCTTCATGCAACAGAATGAAACACTCCCATTCTTAAACCATCCCCATGTGGACGCTGTTCCCAAACATTGCGACACCTATGGTGTAAATCCCTCTCATCGAGGGTCTTCCTCTCCTTAAAATGATATCCTCTTACAAAAGTTCATTTAGCCTCTTTCTTCTTTGTATCATAAATGGAAAGATCATTGACTTGGGGTTTTGTGAATAACTAAGATTTGGGGAAGAAGTAGCAAAGAAAATTCTAGCCAGATTGAATCCTACAAAACCTTGTATGGTTAAGGTAGAGTTGGGGAGAAAAAGATAACCACTAGCCACACTTTTCCTACTCCTCCTATATAGAAGTCTCGGATGTGAGTCAGTCAGTGATGTACCTTCCACACGTATACTAGAAGAATGGTCTTTTGTTGAGCATGGAAACTGAGGGTCAGGAAAGGAAGAAGGGTGAAGAAAAGGGCTCTGGAGTTGGTCCTCCTGAGTGTGAATCCCTGTCTGTCATTTTATAAGTTATGTGGCCACAGGAGAGTCTTTAGCTTCTCTGAGCTTCAGTTCTGCAAATTGGGGATAATAATAGAGGAGGAGTATTGAATATACCAGGGACTGCCAAAGGAACAAATATGTCTTGGAGGAAGTGAAACCAGGATGTTCCTTAGAGGCAAGTGTTATGAAACTTCAGCTCATATTCTTAGGGCATCTTGTCAGGAAGCACTAGTCCTTGGAAAATGACATCATGCTTGGAAAATAGATCAGAGAAAGGAAGGAGGACCCTCAGTGAGATGACTGCCTCGCTCACAGTGGGCGTAAGCATGGCAGAAATAATGAGGATAACACAGGCTAGGGGATGGTTTCAATCTGTTCTTCACAGGATTGTTACGAGTCGTAGTTGACTCATCAGCCCCTAACAACAACAGGGTTACTTGGTAAAGAAAACAAGTTGGTATCTGCAGAACCTGGGGCATGCCTGGTGCTTTGCAAGCATTCAATCTCTGGTACTTTTTTTGGTAGTTGTCCTTCATGTGCATAAACAAAGTTTTAAATGGTGTCTCCATCTCCTAGGGCTGTCATAACAAAAATACCACGAAGTGGGTGGCTTGAAAAAACAGAAATTTATTTTCTCACATTTCTGGAGTCTAGAAGTACAAACCAGGGTATCAGTCATGCTGGTTTGTTCTGAGGACTTTGAGAGAGGAACTGTTCCTTGTTACTCTTAGTTTCTGGTAGCTGCCAGCCAGCCGTGGTGTTCTTTTGCTGCTTATACATCCCTCTGCCTCCGTCCTGCTTGCCTTCTGCCTTCCTCTGTGTATGACTGTTTTCTGCCACACGAAAGAGATTAGGACTAGAACACACCCTACTCCAGTAGGACTTAACTGGTAATACAAAGAAAATACCAGTTTCCTCAAATAAGGTCGCACTCAACAATGCAGAAGTTAGGACTTCACATAGTGAAGACCTGTATGGACAACAATTCATCTCATCCGTGACATCGTTTAAACAGTTGTTCAGATCACACAGTTACTAACATCAGGCAGAATCTAAAACTGATCCTTTTGTTTAAGTCAACAAAAGATAATTTGGTGCTACAGTAACAACCCTAAAAGCTTGGTAGAGTGGCTTAGCAAAAGTTTATCTCACATTCACACAAAGTCCTTTTCAGTTCTGGACACCTGTGCCTGTTTTAGGTCAGCATTCAAATGGTTCCCTCTTATTCACAGCAACACAAGCATGCCACGTGCCTATGGCAAGTGAAGAGCAAGAGAGTTACGTGCCAGTGATTAAATTATTCTGAGTGGAAGGAAGACATGTCCCTCCTAGTTGAATTTTATTGGCCAGGCTAAGTCACAAGAACACACCTGACCTCAAGATATAAGTGTCATCTTTCTTAGTATATAGAGGATGAGAAACAATTACAACTACACAGTATTCACGCCCACCATAGCCCTCAATGCCAGTCTAACTCGTAACTCATAACTATCTGCTCTCCTCTCTGCTGATGTTAGGGGCTGCCAAGTTAACTTGACCTGATGGTAGCTTACTGTGTAACAGATGGGATGTTGGTCAGCCCTATGCCATCTTCTTGCTCTTTGGCATGTTTGAGTCCCTTGTTGCAGCTCTTGTGTGGTACCTTCCATCCTCGGTGGCTCATCTCTCATCTCCCAGAACAATATGAGACAATATTCTTTTGGGATCCTGGAAGCTTTAATTTGCTAGTTTTTTAAGGTGGATTTCCCCCAAAGCCTGTCTACCATGGATGGACCGCATGGTCTCCAGCATCATAGCAACATGCAAGCCACCACAGAACAGAACCTGACAGACGTGAGGCAGTGATCCATGATAGAATGAGCAGCTCTTACCTTTACATGAAAGTTAGCTTTCACTAACTTCCTTAATCCCAGTAAAAATATATGGCTTTTAAGTGAAATAACTGTACGCAGATAGACTCAATCTTAGAGGCGTTAACAGGAATAGGAAAGGAGAGAAAGAAGAGTAAAAATGCATTTTTTAATAAAT